ACAGATGAGGTAACAAACTTGTGGAAGAAAATAGATTAAAATATATGGGTTAATTTAAGTTATAATAACTAGCTCAGAACAAGCCTAACTAAGCTCATGCTTTCATAATTAATAAGTCTCTGTGTCATTATTTTTTTTGAGCTGGCAGCCCAAAGAAAAATCTGACTACATCCAGAAGCCTCATGCCTGGGGTCTAATCTGAAGATACATAGTAACAGAAAGACAAAATGGTAAGATCAACTTTTTGGTGGAATAATGCCCCCTAAACTCTATCCCCGTTTATTCCTGGGACCATGAGTAAGGCGCCTGTGGTAGCATTGGCATCTAGGCTGATGGCAACAAGGCTAAACACATTAAAAGAACAAGATCATTTGGTCCAATGTCACCACAAGGGTCACTGAGATGAGACCAAAGCATAAAGAAAGTCCAAGCCTGAAGAAGACCCACTTGTTATGACTGACTTTGAAGATGGGAAGGAACTCTTTCTTAGACACCCAACAAGGTGATCTTCAGCAGCTAGAATAGCCCTGCTGATAGGCAGCTTCCCTCACACCAAACCTCAGGCTCCCAACATGGAACTGATTTCTATCTACACATTAATGGTCACAGAACCCAGCTCCTCTCCAGGGTCTCTGGAGGGGTTGCTGTGCTAGACTTTCGACCTACAGATCTCTAATAGTATGTCGTGTTGTGTAAGCACTCAGTGTTTGGCAATTTGTTAATGGCGGTGGTAGAAAACACATGCCCAACATGGAGTACTGGCTACATCATCCACAGTGGGTGCAGGCTGGGGAGATCAGCTCAACTGCTGGAAGGATGGAGGGAGCTACCAGGAAATGTACAGATATGCAGTAACTTCTTTATTGTGAGGGGAGATAGTGCAAAAGGCCACATTCCACATAAAAATGGTAAGGCAAATATGGAGATTTGTTTTTATTGTCAAAGAGAAGGGCAAAGGACTGGGAAGATAGCTTATTCAATAATCTGAGTTTGATCCATAGACTCCAAGTTAAAAACAAAACAAAAAGACCTGGGCATAGCTGACACTTAATTGTACTCCCAGTGCTTGTGAGTTAAAGACAAGAGGATTCCCCAGGCTGGCTGGCTACCCAGCCTAGGCTGCTCGGTGAGTCCCAAGCCCATAAGAGACTTTGGTCTCCAAAAACCAGGTGGACAATGCCTGAGGAATAAGAGCTGAGGTTGACCTCTAGCTTCTATAAGAATGTGTACATGTGTGCATTGCACACATATGTGTACCTGAACACACATGAACACATATACACAAAGGATAGAATAACATTCAAGTAGGCATGATTACCCATAAAGTAGAGCCACAAGCGGGAGAGCCCAGACTTCCCAGCACATTTTTCTATAGCTATGACTCTGTAATAATGTAAACGGTTACAAAGTGCAAATAAACTTAAAAGGCCCTAGCAATTTCTCCCAGGTGAAATGATTTTTACAGAAACTAACTGCCAATAAGAAAGGCAAAAGAACACAACACCTGGAATGAATGTGTCTCGTTATACACAAACTGGTGACGAAAGCACAGAAGGAAGGAATGCTGTTGTGTGACTAATTTTTAAGCTCAGCACTTTGGCTGTGATGCAGGAGAGAATTAAACCTAAGGACAAACACTTACATTTCATTCGGCAGTCTTGTTGATTACTCTGTTGAAATCATAGGTTTGCACTCAATATAATAGTCAGGTGGAAAAATAAGAACATTGGGGTTCCTGAAAAATTCATTTTAGTATAAGATATGAATTTAAGGATAATGGTATTTTATTTGAATTGGAAATATCACTATTCCCACTATTAATATCCACTATAATCACTATGGGTATTTAAAAAACAATACATGTTTCTTGGGACTGAGAGATGACTCAGTGGTTAAGAGCACTGGCTGCTCTTCCAGAGAACACAAGTTCAATTTCCAGGAAATACAATGGTGGCTCACAACTATCTCTAACTCCAGTTCTAGTGGATCCGACACCCTCTTCTGACCTCCATGAGCACCAGGCACACATATGGTACATAAATGTACGTACAGGCAAAACACTCATGAACATGAAATAAGTAAATCTAACAAAAATGTTTAATGTATTTACTCTCCTGAACAGAAAGGTCTAGAAGCAATGACTAGATGGTAGCAATGAACTCCCCCAGCTTTTGATGCTCAGGTTGTGATCTTTAAATGTTACTTGATGCTACTTAAAACCCAGGCTCACGTAGAAACAGCTCATATAAGCATGGACCAGGAAGGCACCATGTCCTATAATATCATGTACCACCAGAAAACCAAATCTCCTCATGTCAAGAAATCTAGAACAAGAAGGGATAAAGAAGGGTGAATGTAGGGCTCAAAGAATAGCAACGGAGGCAAAGGAGATGGATACCTCTTTGGGTAAAGTGCTCACCACACAATCACAAGGACCTGAGTTTGAATCCCTAGTACCTATACAAAGATGGACATGGAAGCATTATGTCCATAATCTCTGTGTTCCTATGGTCAGATAAGAGAAGAGGTAGAAGCAGGAGACTCCTGGAAACTCAGGGGCCAGCTCACCTGGTGTACATAACAGGCAAAAGACACTGTCTCACACAAGATGAAGGTGATGACCAAGATCTGAGGCTGTCCTCTAACTTCTGTATGTGCACTAAGGGACAGACACACACACACACACACACACACACACACACACACACACACACACACACACACACAAATAACGTAGAGCAATGGGTACATATGCCTGGAACACACTGAATATAAAAGCATATGCTTTCATTAATTGTTGCAAGGATGGAAAAGAGAGACAAAAAAATTAAAGAAGGTAAATCTCTTTAACACTAGAAGAAGGAGGCAGTGATTTACTTTGATCATTTATAAATGAAGTGCTTTTCTGCCTTCCTGGCTTTGGGGTATGTAAACAATGTGAGAGATCAGGGCAAGGGCTTCCTTTGAAAGTTCCAGAGACAGAATAAGTAAAGGTTGAGAGAATAAAATAATTTCCATTCTGAATGTATAAAGACACAGTTCAGGTGACAGAGTATGCATGGATGAGCAGATAAAACACTGATGGGAACTGATGGTGTAGGGATCAGGAATCAGGCAGTTCATTCCCACCTGATGCTCTTTTTAGCATAGCTCCATGCTCTCAGTCTACCTCAACATGTGCAGAGGACCAAGCATATGCTGAGGATGCAGGAAGGAGGGAAGGCAGGAAGGAGAGAGGGGAGGTACAAAAGAGAAAGCACATTTAATCAAGTTTTGGTGGTGAACTTCTGGTTCAAAGGACACAGAGGGACACTGGAGTGCTAAGTGGTGCCACTAGAAGGAATTGTGTAAGGACCTCTACAGTTGTTGTCAGTGGGTATTGTCAACAGGACATGGCACTGGGAAAAAGGGCAGAAGATGCGTGCGCGAGGTAATCTATAGTGACAGAGAGAAGACAAGTGACTGTCAGTGGATGGGGGGGTGTTAGGGAGGGAAACAAGGAGTGGAAGAATGTTCCTGGGGACAATGGATGTCCTTTAAAGTTTGGTCCACATAGTACTTGCTCAGCAACTAGGACCAATGAACATTGAATTGTGACAATTAGTTTTCTGCAGACACACATTTTTTTTTTGAAAGAGTTTCAAAGTCTGTTTCTATCATTTTTTTCTTGTTTCATTCACCGGGGTATATTTTTGATTAGATGTAAATTACAGATACACTCTTACTTTTTTTTTTTTTTTTAGGTAAATAGTCTCAGCCCCAGTGATAGATAGCTCCTAGCTCCTATCCACTGTAGAGATTCTACATAGCTTTCTAGAAAGTGGGCTTGGTGAAACTTTTGCACATGTACATGTAGGACTTGCTTTCTAATTCACAGCCAATTTCCAGAAGAGACTCCTACAACTCAGTACAAGAACAGCAATGAATCACCAATGTCTAACTACACAGGAAATACTTCCAAACATCATCACTCTCTGCTCATAATTTGGCTCTTCATCTTTCTCTCTTTCAGCAGATCTGGTAGAATGTATGGTATTCATCCCATGCCAGCAGATCCTATCCACATATAGCCCTTCCAGATGCCCAGAGCCCTTCTATGCTCATTATAGTCCATGGCACTACATTGAGTATTTCCTTGGTCCACTCTTGGATCTGTGTGATGGAATTTTCTATCACTTCCTAATGCTCTGTGCAAGCACAGCATTGGTGGTTTAGTGGTAAAATTCTCGCCTGCCTAATGCTCTGTGTTGTCTCCAGACACACCCTGCAGCAAATGATCCTGCCACCGGGCAGAGAAAGGTTCCCTCCATAGCACAAGCTACCATTGCCTCTTCCAGGCCCCAAAGAGCACCTGAGAGAGAGAGCCTGATCTAGAAAGGCAGCTGTACCCATGATGCTCTATGCCAGACAAACTCTACCAGTCTGGTAACTGATGTAGAATTTAAAAGCCAATCAGCTATACTAACTAACTTGGAGTACCACACCAGAACTGCCCTTAAGTTTTCCCCTTTATTCTCACATCTCTTGCCATAGGACCCTGATTTCCTCATCTTTGCCCATCAACATTCTGTCAAGAGTAAGTGCTTATGATCATTCTGTTGGGAATCCCTAGCTCCCAGGGTGTACTGGTTAGCATTGACAACTTGGTAGCCTTTAGAATCACCTTGGAGACACACCTTTAGCCATGTGTGTGAGGGGTTTTTAGAATTGAAGTGAGAGGACCCACTCTGAGTGTGCCCATCCACGGGCTGGGGTCCTGGGGACTGAATAAAAAGGAGAAAATGTACTGAGCATCAGCAATCATTCCTTCTGCTTCCTGCCTGTGGATTGTCATGTGACCAGCTGGCTCACACTCCTGTAACTATGATATCTCTGCCTTTATGGACAGTAGCACAACTGTCAGCCAAAACAATCCTTCCTTTCTCCTTAAGCTGCTGTGTCAGGTATTTTGTCATAGCACCGGGAAAAGTAACTAATACACAGGGCCACCGAACACTCACCTGCCCCTCCACAATCCACCTGCAGATGGCTGTCTTCCCATCATAGCCGGGTCGGAACTGGAGTGTGGCTGAGCGAGGGCTGATGTTGGAAATGACCAGGTTGGATGGAGCCCCAGGAAGGTCTAGAGGAGGATGAGAGAGGCGGGAAGAGGGTTAACTTGTGCCATAGCCTAGGGATGGTGCCAAGCACTGTTAGGGAGGAAATAGCTCCAAAATGAGTCTTCACTGCAAAAGGCACTTGTTTACCAAGCCATGAAAGTGAGAGGCAGTGCAGCTTCCCCCAGCAAGGCCTCACAGCAGGATCCTTCCTCTAACAGGGTCGCCCGCTGTGCGGCAGGCCATCTGAAGTGGCATTAGGAGACTCCTGTCTTATTCATCTCTATTGAGAGCAGATAATTAATAGGTGCTTGTTGTGCAAAGGAAGACAAGGGAACATGATTACATCCTCCAGGATTCTGCCTTGGCACCAAGAAAGGAGTGTCTAACTTCTTTTCTCAGCTCCCATGATGCCCTGGAAGTCAGGGTTGAGGAGGGGATGGAAATCTGTAGGCCTTGGATGTGGTTTCCAAGACAACCAAAAGTCGGTGACATCATGGAACTCTTTCCTGGACTTAGTATTTCTGGGAAGGACATAGGTGGAGGGTGAACCCCATCATCTGAGGTTTTCCAGGCTGAGGCCTAGGCACACAGTCTCTGCTGGGATGCTCTCTAGGAGGCCAAGCTTACTTGCTAGCTCAACAAAGTGTTCAAAATGAGAAATTCCCAAGAGGAAGATAATGGGTTAAAGAGAGAAAAGAAAAAAAATGCAGACAAGAACTACCTTAAAAGACAAGACAAAGGGCTGGAGGTATATACCTCAGGCAGCAGTGTCCACCTGACACCCACAAACCCCTTTGTAACGAGTACGGTTTTTCCGCCTGTCGTGCCATCTGTAATGAGTACGGTTTTTCCGCCTGTCGCCGCCTGGTCGTGTCCTGCCGCCGCGCCAGCCCCAAATAATACACAGAGACTCTGTATTTGATACAATACTGTTGGCCCGGTTACTTGTTTCTTATCGGCTAGCTCTGCCTTAATTATTAACCCATTTCTGCTGCTCTATGTATTTTCACATGGCCTTCTCTTACCGGGGGGCAGCTGGCGTCCAGCTCTCTCCAGACTCTCCATCTTGACTCCTCCTTACTACTTCCTATTTCCTCCTTGTCTCCTAGTCCCTCCTATCTTGCTTTCCTATTGACCAACAGTGCTTTATTATTAACCAGTATGAGAAACATATACAGAATGTCATCTCCCATCACCCCTTGATCTCCTGCACTGCATAAAGTCAGGCATGGCAGTGTACCCCTGCACATCCAGGACTGAGGAGATGGAAGCACAAGGATCAGAAGTTCACAGCTACCCTCAGCTACACAGGAAGCTTGGGGTTAGCCTGGGATATGGGAAACTTTGTCTCAAAAACTTTAAGTAAGTAAATAAATAAATGAAACAAAAACAAGGCTGGGGTGTGGCTCAGTGGTAGAGCACTTGCTAGCACACACAAGGCTCAGCGTTCCTTCTCCAGGATTGAAGAGGAAGAAAGAGAGGGAATGGGCTTGGGGCGGGGAGTGATGGGAAGAAGGGAGAAAAAGAAGGAAGTGGGGAGGAAGAAAAGAAGGCAAGAGGAAGGAAGGAAAGCCTGCTTGCTGTCGTCAAGTTTCCAAGAGCCATGTCCTACCATGGCTGGGGTATCTGAAGGTAGGTCTTGCCTGGGGATAATAAAGCCCCCTATGGTAACAGCTTGCTGGTGTCACAAGCAGGGTCTCTAGGACCTCAAGGGTCCTTCTGCATCTGGCTTAATGAATTTGAAGCAGAAAATGTTTAAAGTGAAGGACAAGAGACTCTCCTTTCCAGTCCTTTGCTCTCTGGATTCTTAAAATGGCCCTTCAGTGTCTAATGGTTGTAAGCCTCTGGTCCAGCAAACAAAAGCCAGCTCCTCAGAAGGGCTCATAGCGGCAGGAGGCTCATCCTGCAGATGCTACTTAGTGTCTTAGTGTAGCCCTCCAGCTACGGGTGATCTGGTTTGAAAGGCTGCTCAACAGTCTCCCTTCAGGGCAGCCATCAGAGGCTTACTTAGAGCAGATGCCTCCATCTTCTTTCTGAGTCTCCCGCTGCAGTTCGTGGAGACATATGGCCTGGAGATAGTCATGCTGCATGTAGAGAGGCCTTCCAGAGGTCAGTGTACTCATTCCCTATCAGGGATGGACAATGTCCGGGCCACAAAATCTTGTAACTCATACCAGGCTCCATTTTAAACCCATCAGACAATGCCCACATCAGGGCTGTTGCTAAGGAAGTACTAACGATATTTCAATTATGTAGTCTGGGTGCTATAAGTTTCATGGGAACCAGATATTTGGGTAAAATCAATGAGTATTGGCTGAGGAGATGGCTTAGTTAGTGAAGGGTAATAGGCTACTGGAAAGTCATCCTGTCCTGGCCCGTCCCGGAAACTGGAACTTAGAAATCCCTACCGCATGACTCAGGGTTAACTGCCAAAGCAATATTTCCAGCCAGGCTGTACTGTTCTGCGAGCTCACTACCCATGCTCCAAAGACCCTATCAAAACCCGCCCTTCTGCCCATCCCACTGCGGTCTCTATTCCCAGTCAAGAGGCAGTTGTCATCCTGTGGTTCTCCCCAACAAATCTCTTGTCTGAGGTTTGTTGCATGGTTTGACTTTGTGGTATTCATTGACTCCCTAGTGCCAAGAACACACCTGTGCTGCAAAACCCTTCCACAGAACCCACATAAAAATCTAGGTATGGTATAATCTCAGTTCTGGGGAGGGGGGAGACAGGAGGCTCCTGGAAGTTTCCTGGCAGACACTTTAGCCAATCAATGAACTCCAGGCTCAGTAAGAGACCCTGTCTCAAAATAAGATGAGGAGGAATTGAGGAAGGCACCAGACGCTGGCCTCTGACCATCTCATACATGTGTGCACATGGGCCCACACACAATAAAAAAAGGTACAAAATGTTTCAAAAGGAATCTTTCTGCAGGAAGAAGACTTAAAGCAATGCTATTAAAGCAATTGCCTTAGTGTGATGGTCTTGCGTGCATGTGGGACTTTCCCAGGGGCAGACTCGGAGCCTCAGCCCACCTCCATAGACTACTTCCCTGGGTGGGGCCCAACTCTCAGGGGCTTGACAAGCATCGGTAACTCTGGTCCCCATGACAGTGTCAGGGCCACTGTCTGCAAGTGGAAAGAAGTCTCCCCTGCTGGTGGAGACTCCCACACACAATGGGGCATCATCTCTGGCGGGTAAAGGGGAGATCACTCTGTGGATCCAGCTGCTACCCAGTCTCGTCTTTTCCCACCAAGTTTAGACTTAGAGGGAGTGTATTTGGAGTGGTGCACTGCACTGGGGTGATGTGGGTAGGACAAATGGGGCTCCTGGAGGCTCCTGGAGGGCATATGCTGTGTTTGTTTGATGCTATTTTTAGACACATGTATCACTTTCCAGATCAAACAACTGGGTTATGAGAATGAGCTGGAAGTGGAGAGCAAATATGAGTTGAGTTCATGTGAGTTTTTCGGGCATCTATATTTTTCAATAAGGTAAATTGACGTGTGTGTGTGTGTGTGTGTGTGTGTGTGTGTGTGTGTATGGGTACACATGTCTGTGAATGTACCAAAACCCACAGGAGGTCTTCACTTTATCACTCTCCACCTCATTCTTTTGCCATGGTGCTAGGCCGGCAGCCATGGAACCCCAGCCGTCCTGTTTCTGCCCTGCCCATCCCTGTTAGTACTGGGGTTACAGGTTTGTGCTTTGGCTGCACCTGACTTTTTACATGTGGATTCCAGGATCCAAACTCAGGTCTTCCTGCTTGTACAGCAAGCGCTCTTACCCATGAGTCCATCTCCAGGCCCTTCAATGAACGCTCTTTTGGATGGTAGGAGACAGAACAGCTTTGATTGTAGGACTGAATCATTAGACCCGTGATAACCTCCCCACCCCTATATTCACACGTGTTTGTGAGATTTCTGGGAACACATCCCCACCTTAAACAAGAGCTTTAAAACTGGAGAGCAGGAGTGAGGGGCGGCTTTCTGGAGCCCAGGTGGTGTGCTGCTAAGCACCAAGGAGAGGAAGAGAAGAGTTTCCAAGTGACATAAGAGAAGGAATGGAAGTCATTTCCATGCTAATGAGCAGACTCTGCAACAAGGCTTGCTGAACAGGGCCACCCACACCCTGCAGGTTTCTCCCTGTCTTTTCATCTTCCCTACTGTGTTTTCTTTCTTTCTCAGATTCAGCTATTTTATGTGTATGAATGTTTTGCCTACATAGATGTACGTGCATCATGTGTGTGCCTGGTGTGTCAGAGGTCAGAAGTGGGCACTGGTTGCCCTGGAATTGGAGTTGTAAGACATCTGCCAGCCACCGTGTGGGAGCCAGACATTGAATGTGGGTACTATGCAAGAGCAACAAGTGCTCTTAACTGCTGGGCCATGTGGTGATAGCCTGTTTATACTCTAACAGATAAAGCTGGCCTGAACATCAGAGGGTGGAGCTAGCCATTAGCTAACCATAGAGGTCTAGAGGTCTATATAGGCAGACAGGAAGTGAGTTGGCTGGGAGAAGAGAGGAATATAGGCAGGAGGAGACAGGAACTCGGTCTCTTTTCAGTCTAAGGATTTCATAGCGGTCAGAAGAGCTCCAGTGGATGGCTGCTCTGCTTCTCTAATCTTTCAGCTTTTACCCCCAATCTCTGACCCCAGGCTTTCATTATTAGGACCTGTTAGAACTTGTGTTACAGATCCATTTCCCTGGCCCTACTCTGTCTCATTACAAACCCCAGTTCTCAATGTTTCAGTAGCTGAAGCTCTAAACTGTGTGGTCTTCTGGATTTTTGAGACTGGGTCTCATGTAGCCCAGGCTGGCTACCAACTTCCTGGGTAGGCAAGGACCACCTTACACTCTGGATGCACCTGCCTTTACTTGCGAAACCCTTGCATTCCAAGTGTGCACCACCATACCTGGTTTGCTTGCATGGAGATCAAACCCAAGATCTTCTGCACAATAGCTGCGCTGTGTTGCAGCGCCAGCCCCGCCCACACTTAATTTAAAATGTATGCCTTGTTTTCCTTTCTCAAAGGCATCTCCTGTCCATATGGTCGCTGGCTGTGAGCCCTGGGGAGTGGAAACCTTGGGTTGTGGAGACCATGTTTTAGCCTTATGGAGAACATTTAGGCCACTTCCGCTGTGGGAGAGAGATACCCACAAAGAGGCAAAGCTAAGGGTGGATCAGTGTCCTCTGCCTTCACATGTTTTAGCAGGAGGCTAAGCCTTGCCCTTAGCTCTCCAGTTACTTGGTGGGTTCTGGATGGCAATGCCACCATATTGGAGGGTCAGGGATGACAAGCACAGGCAGAATATCTGTGGCAAAAATCCGCTGACCTGGGGGTACTCCTGAAGAGATGGTGGACGATGTGGTCTGGCCCACACCTGCTGCGGTCACAGCAGCCACGTCGATGGTGTAGGTGGTGAGAGATGACAGTCCCTGGATCTTGTACTCGTGGGTTGTGCTGTTGAGAGTATGTGTGAGCCGGGAGTCGTTCTTCCCGTACACCTCCCAGGAAATCTGATAGCCTGCAGAGACAAGAGAAGAACTGAGACAGGGCCTCCACCAGACAGGCTCCCCGAGGCAGCAGAAGAGCAATGGGGCTCAGCGGAACGGAAGGAGGCCAGATTCTTCCTCGTTGTTCCCACAAAAACCTCTGCTGTGCCCTGCTCCTACCACAAAGAGTTCTTTAAGAATAGAGTTCTGGGATCTCAGGAGCTGGGTTCATGGACGAGAGTGACAGATCAGACTGCCACCCTACTCATTCTTGTTGAATCAGGAGACACTGCAGCCCAGTTCCCACCTTCATTAACTGCTCTTTTCATCACCCAGAGCCCTGAATTGGTGTGCTGTATATGTGGCGCATGTGAGATGTGTGTGTGTGTGTGTGTGTGGTATATGTGGAATGTGTGTGTGTCTATGTGGTATGTCTGGGATATGTGTGCATATGTATGTGGTGTGTGTATGTGTGCTGTGTGTGCCTGTTTCTTGGTTGGTGATTGACAAGCTACTCTTCTGGTTTTCAAAGGGAAACATTTCCTTTTACCTGCCCCCTCCAACCTCCCATTTTCTCAGTTTTGCTTTGCCTCTGAGCTTTGCCCTGCTCCTTACTGAAGATGCTGTTTTCTAGAAAAAAAAGTTTTTAATTTTCCTCCTGGTTCTCTGCAGGGCCTCATGGTCACAATTTATTCAGCCCCAGATTCCATCATGACTTGGGGCTTAGAGAAAAAAGCCCCAACTAGTGCCTGAGTCAACTCCTTTGGAGGGGAGCTGATGGGATTAGAGGGGCGCTTAAAGTGTCTGGTAAAGAGGGGACAGTGATGGAGAGAGCTCCCGGGTCCTCAGGCGAAGGAAAACTGCTGAGGATGCCAGCCCTTCCTTCTTCTCAGTCAATAAGCTTGGGGATATGGAAGCTCTAAGACACATCTTAGCTCCCTTTCACTCAGATGAAAGTCATAAATAAAGTTAGAAACTGCTCTTGCGGGTGAACAGAAACTTAGAGGATGGTGCCTCGGGACTTCAATATTTTGATAAAAAAAAATTAATGTCAGAATTCACCCCCTGCTCACTGTCCTCACAGTTATCACACAGTGGCAAGGTAACTACTAGGTTCCTCCAGGGAGACTCAGATGTTGGGGGAGGTGTAGCTGAAACAGCAAGGCAAGAAAGACCACTAGAGGGATACTGCGGCATGGAGGGATACTGGGGCTAATGGGGGAAGCTTAGGTCATGGAAGGATGCTGGGGTCATGGAAGGATGCTGGGGCCATAGAAGGATGCTGGGGCCATGGAAGGATGCTGGGGCCATGGAAGGATGCTGGGGTCATGGAAGGATGCTGGGGCCATGGAAGGATGCTGGGGCCATGGAAGGATGCTGGGGTCATGGAAGGATGCTGGGGTCATGGAGGGATGCTGGGGCCATGGGACCCAACTGCCTCAGGCTACATCCCTCCAACGATAAGCCACGTTTGTTTATTGTCAGGAATTTGGTTCCAGCAAGGAGAAAAGCAAGCAATACAGCAACAATGCATTGCCCTAGGGTTGAAACTAATCTATAGTTTAGTTTAGTACCTTCTTGGTTTTGACTTTTTATTTTATTTTTGAGACAGGTCCTAGCCTGTCCTTGAACTTGCAGAGATTCACTTGGCTCTGCCTCCCTAGTGCTAGGATTAAAGTTGTGTGACATCATGTGAGACCTTTTCTCTATTTGATGGCTGCTGGACCACTCTTCCAAGGGGAGGTCAGCGTTATGGCATTGTATACTAGTGTTATCAGGAGCTGAGATTGGAGACTAGGGTCTGAGATGTCATGTGATCCTATGGGGAGTTGGGAGATTCAGGATTCTGTGAGGCTGAGGAAAATACCCATTCTGCTACTCAATCAGTGAATTCCAGAGAGAGAGCCTGTTTCAAGGTGTGTCCCAAGTATGTCACCTGGCTAAATCACGCAATCCACAGGACACACTTGATACTGAGATATTGTTCATCATCACTTTACAAAAAAGAAATAGGGAGTCTCAGGAACTTGCAAGAAACCAATAGCCCCGCTACAGGGCCATCTTCTCCACCTGTGTCTGGACGGTTTCCAACGCCACCCCTGGCTCTGGTGGGTTTTTTTCCTGATTAATTTATAAACAGTGTGAGACTCTGGGCCACTCTGAAGGCCTGGGAAGAGGAGACTTTGTTGAATGCTATCACCTTGTCTGCCAGGAAATTCTATTTGTTTAAAAGCTGTTCTTTAGCAAAATTTACCAAACACAGCACCTTGTTCATCATGTCAACCTGGAGCCAAAACACAGCAATTTCAATGTCTTCGGTAAGCACAGCGCTGCTGGTTTCTGCTTGAGTCCAAATGGATCACACCGTATGCTCAGCTCATTACAGACACAAATGGGTACCAAATGGACAACTGAACCGCTTGCTCTGGGGCTGGGGGAGGTGGCTCAGTTGATAAAGTGCTTGCAAGAATTTGATCACCAGAACCTACATTTAAAAAGCCAGGCATGGTGGTACATGCTTGTAATGCCAGTGCTGGGGGAGATGGAAACAGGCAGATCCCTCGGGTGTAACAGCCCGCTAAAGCTTAGCCTGATTTATGAGTACCAGGCCAAGTGGGTAGTGCTTGGAGATCAACATCTGAGATTGAATTCTGGTTTCCATCTGTGCCCACATCTGCACACATGTGCACCACCACCACCACCACCACCACCACCACCACACACACACACACACAGGGTCTACTCTGGAGGGTTTAAGATTGGTACCAGAAGAGAAAGCCCTGGCTGGGAACTTCCAATGAAAGGTATAATGGGGTGTTGTCACAGGGCAGAGAACTGGGCATTTGGTGTGTAAGAATGTTTCTCCCTTACGTACACATAGTTTTAGAGACGCGTATGGTGGATTGTGACAGCTCTGGCCAGCAAGTGCTTCATCTAACTTCTGTTTGTGGCAGGAAAGAGCAGAGCAAGGAGTTGCCTAGACCTAGCATCCCAGCCACCTCCAGCTCTGCTTCTCACCTGCCGGGAACAGCCCTGCTAACTGAGACTAACGACCACAGGAGCTTCAGAAATAATTTTCTGTTGATCTGGAGTAAATTCTCTGCAAGAGAGTAGTGCATCCAATCACAGACTGTCTGTCTGCATCCTGGCCCTCATAAATCAGGGTTTACTGGGGGAGACTGGGAAATACTGCAATTTACAGCAAGAGCACAATGGGCAATTTACTCAGGCAGGTGCACGGCAACCCTTGCTTGAAGCTTCCTTCTCTTTCTGGCCACAGAATAAAATGGAAACGTGGAATGGGGGCAGTCACCAAGGGCCAGGCTGATAAAACATATCTCCGACAGACACCCCACCATAAAGGTCACATTGCCCAGGACCAAACCTTTAGCTGCATGTGCCTCCTGCAGCTGCCTTCAGCAGTGGAAGTTATACATGTGATGTCTTTGAAGGAGGGGGTGCATGCTAACATTCGCTGACCTAGGCTCAGGAGGCCAGGTTTGTCTGCAAGCACTGTCTTCTCCTCCTTTCCTTCCTCCTCCCCCTTCACCCCCCTCTGCTCCTCCTCCCTCCTTTTCCTTTCTCTCTCTTCCTCCCCCATTTGAGTGTGTGTGTGGTGTGTGTGTGTGTGTGTATGCGCGTGCACGTGCGTGTGTGTGGGCCAAAGGCTGATGTTTTCAATCCCTTTCCACCATAAGTTTTGAGACAGCGTGTCTTACTGAACCCAGAGTTCACTGATTCTGTGCCTGTCTTCATGCTCTCAGTGCTGGGAATACAATGTGTTCTGTGCACCTGATTTTTTATGTGGACTCTGGGGGATCAGGTTCACATGCATGTGCTTTATTGACTGAACCATCTCCAGCACAATGTTGACCTTCTTGGGGGGGGCTGCTGGCTTTTGGGGGCTGGGGTAGGGGGCTGGGGTATTGCCTACCATCAGGCAGGGTGTGTAGTGCTGAGTAACACGGAAGGTGATTGAAGGTGGTGTCACAGGGAATCAGCTAATCAGTCGGTGAGCACTTTCCCCTCTAGACTGCTTCTCAGAGCAGCAGACACCTGCCCCAGCTTCTGCAAACACGTGTTTTTACAGTGTGGGCAGGAGTGGAGGGAAGTGCAGGCCAGACAGTGAGGAGTGGACGACTTTGGTCCTGATATGAGGGACAGAGTCTGCCTGAAGTTCTGCTAGCTGTGGGGCAGCCTCTACTCAGCCGAGGCCACAGTGGAAGCAGGCAGACAGAATCCAACTGGGAAACATCTGAGCTCTGGGGGTCAACCTCCACCATAAACACTAGCCGGTTGCTTGTGACCGCAGGTATTTGTTTAAATAAAGTATGAAAATGAGTTCATTAGGCCCCATTAGCTGGCGAGAGCAGATGATCATAAATTGAAGGCCCTGGCAACTAGCTCTCAGCCATGGAACATTGGCTCAGCTCCACTGGCCTTCCCTCAAGCTATAAAACAAGAATGAAATGTGTGGGCAGTTTGGAAGGAGTGTGGGAGTTCAGGAGGGGTGGAGGTGTGGATCTGGGACAGGGGAAGCCCTCCTGGGTTAGGATGTCTACGGAAAAGTCTTGGACAGTTTCTAGAACTGAGGCCAGTTGGATAGGAGCGACTGCCTGCCCCTCTCACTCTGCATCCCCACCTCCAGAGTAAAGGATGAGCAAGGGTCTGAGGCAGTCCCCAGATGGGTCCCTGTGACATGAGCTAGAAGACTTCCTTTCTGGGGCTGCAGAGAGGGCTTTGTGAGTTAAGTGCTTGCTATGCACACATGAGGATTTGAGTTTGGTCCCCCAGGACCCACGTGAGAAAAAATGTAGCATCCGTTTGTAATCCTAGTACTGAGGAGGTAGATATAGGCAGATCCTGGGGGTTCACTGGCCAGCCAGTCATCCTTCTTACTGAGTACCAGGCCAATGAGAGAGAGACCCAGTTTTAAAAAACAAGGTGGATTGTTCCTGTCTAAAGAGAAACAGCTGAGGATGTCTTCTGGCTGCCACACAAAATGTGCCCATGTACCTGCATTCACACATATGTGCACATGCACACCTCATATACATGCTCATCTATGAACTTGTGAGTGTGCACATGAGTGTGTGTGTGCACACACACACACACAGACATCCTATTACACAGACACACCATCATCTCTGTTAACATTTGTTTCTGCTGTCTGTGTGACATATACTAACCTACATCAGATCTCTGCTGCCTACCTAGTGCCTATCTGTCTCCTCTGTGTTGGCTTCCTTCTGCTCCAGGCTTGGGGAAATGTTTTTATTTATATGCTCCGTGTCTGTTGTCTTCCACAACAGACCTGGGTTCTGATGCCTCCCTCACCCCAATAGCAGCCATCTCTGGTCTTGCAGGAAGGACACTGCCAAGGATAGGCAGAGTCAAGTGGACAAGTGTATGCATGTTGCTCAATGGTCAGGGTTTGAGGTGGGGTTAGCTCCAAGGCCCTGCATGCGATCCAAGAACCACTGTGAGGTGCTCCGGGGACACAGCTTACCACAGGATATCCCATCCTGTGTAGTGTCTGCACTGATTGGCAGGGTCACTGCCGAGAACTCCCAGTGTCAATGGCCCTATTGAAGTGTCAGTCTGGAATGTTCCTTGCCCATCTCTACCTCATGAGCCAGTTTGTGAAAGTTGTTTCAGCCCACAGCATGCCACACACATCTTACTTGAGCACAGTATAGATTTTAGCAGGGCTGTGACCACAAAAAGGCAGATGATATAGGCAAACTCTTAGTGGAGGAAGAGAAGTGGCCGAACCCAATGGGAATCCATGGACTGAGCAGCTGGGTGGATCCAGGAGGTGGTCAGAGCACACGGCACACATGCTTTTCTTTAACTGTGTATGTTACTGTGTGCAGATGTGCACACAACTGTGTGCATATGATATTCAGCAGACACTAAGAGTGTTAGGTTGAGATAGCCTTCATCTAGACAATTAAACCACAGTGGCTGGCCAGTAAGTTTGCCTCCCTAACACTGAGGTTACCAGTACATGTACCACCTCACTTGGATTTCTAAAATAGATTTTGAACTCATGTCCTCATCAACTGAGTCATCTTCCCAGACCCATATGTGTTATTTTTACATTTTTAGTGTAAAGACATTTGAACTTAACACACAGCACTGCTAGGCATTTCTGTGGCCATGGCCTTTGGGAAACTGGGTGAGAGCTGTGACTTGGGGAGGAAGGGACTTTTCAGGTAGACCAGAAGTACAGTTTGCCCCTTACTCCCAGCATGTGATGAGACAGAGATGGAAATGTGGCTTCCAGAGGCCACTTCTGAGCTGTGTGACTGTGGGGACCTCCACCTTCAGAGTCCTTATTGCTTAGTTGGGGTAAGAGGATATGAGTGGTCACAGAGTGTGACAAGTAGCATGTGGTAGTGTTGAGGAACTTGGCACTGGGGAGTGTTCAGAGAGGCCACTGCTACTGTCTAGGACACTCACAGGGGAAGGGGCCTGCAGCATAGCCTGATGGCAGCCACAGGTCACCTCGCCCATCTAATCTCAACATGGCATGTCTGCACAGTTCTCAGAAACAGCGCAGTGGAAGAGCTTCAGCAACTTTTGGGGAATCAGGGAATTATTTTTTGCCCAGAATTCGGGAGGCCCTAGCTTTAATCCACTGTGCCACACAAAGAAACAAGCCAAACATTAAGAGTCATGTGAATGTGAGCTATTCCTCAAGGCCTCTGCCATCTGTGTGTGGGGGTGTAACAGTGAGGGGGCAGCCATGAGCAGTTTATGCTGAGCTGGACTCATCGAGATCCAGGGGGCTGAGGACCCTTTGAGCCCGAGGCTTTTCATAGCCTTAGATTTCTCACTCAAAGTGTCACGGGGCAGGGGCAGATCTGGGATTTGGAGCCAGGAGATTTGGGCCTTGTCCTAGCCTTGCAAGACCTCAGCACTGCAGTCCTGCCCTATTAGGAGGGCGCTGAATATTGCCCTGCACACAGTAAGAATGTCTGCTGAATATATCTTCCAGCCTCAGTTTTCTTACCTATAACATGGCCAGAATATCAATATGACTCCACACTGCTATAAGAACTAAGCTAAGTATGTGAGGAAAGGTACGAGAGAAATAGAGAGAGAGAGAGAGAGAGAGAGAGAGAGAGAGAGAGAGAGAGAGAGAGAGAGAAGTAATTCTGGTTGCCAAAAGAGAATTCTACAGCATTTGAAGCAGATGATAAACTCCTAGCTCTGAGATTGCTGTCTGTATAAGGAGATAAACCACACCTCCTACTTACCCCTGGCCCCAGGGTAATGGCCACCACACATCCAAGAAGACATGCCAGTTACTCCCAGGAGGCCTGTGTCCACTCTTAGTAGCTTGGTTCGACATGGGGGCCACCCTTTCTTGTTAGGGCACACTTCCCGTTTTCCTTTCCAGATAAGAAGGCTGCTTACCCATAATGATGCCATTTCTCTCCAGGGGCTCCTGCCAGCTGACCTTGAGAGAGGTGTCCAGAATCTCCGTGAAGCTCCAGGTGCCCCACAGCTCCGGGTTCTACCAATTAAAAATAAAGATGCCTGTTAACACTCAAGCCTGCTGTTCTTTGATCAGACCTGTATGGGCAGCTTTAACTACAGAAAGGAATGGTGAGACAGGGCCAGCAGAAGCCCATAGGGAAGAAACACCAGGAGGCACGCAGCCGGGACTAGGGGCTGGGGGCTGAGGTATGCTCTCTGTTTTGGAGTATATTACTTTGCCAGCTCCATGCAGACACCCTGAATGAGGTGAAGAAAGCAACCACAGGAAATTCAGTAGTCACAGTTTCTGTCTTTTTCCCTGATCCAATCCAGTAGAATAATCTGCCTGCTTGACCTGAAAATCAATTGCTTGCTAGAATCCTCCATTAAGGGGTTGGGGGCATAGCTCCATAGTAAAATAACCTGCCTGGAATCCCCCAGTAAGGGGCTGGGGTGTAACTCAGTGGTAGAGCACCTGCCTAGAATCCTTGAGAGAGGGGGTTGGCTTTGCAAGAATACTTCACTAGAATCTTCCAGTGAAAGGAGCCAGGGAGTCTGACTTTTGCTTTGTGGCACCCATAGACCTTGTGGAAGCCAGAAATGGAGCGTAGGGCCAAGGGCAGCGCCTGTTCACCTGACCCAGAGGTCTAGTTTCTGAATACTTCTTTCCCAAGGGATTTTTCAGGGAGAAAGGGAAAGCGCCAGCAAAAGGCCTGCGCCATCCTGCTTAAGAGGAAAAGAAGGGGTCTGGAGGAGACAATACACTTCCCCATACTCCTCTCTCAGCCAAGGACCTGCTCTAGCACCCTTCCACTCAAGGCTTCTTGCACGGGCTCCTTTGCAAACCTGCTGGCAACAGTCTCACTGAGGGCTCTGGTGTGAAGTAGGGGGTCTCTTTAGGCTTGCAGGAGAGGAGGGTCACAGGCTCTTTTCCGCTCCCATCAGCCTTGCCACACAAGCAGCCGCCAGTACCCCTCTCCCTCCTGGAACCATGACAAAGCCCCTAACACAACTTATGAATTTTAAAATAGGTGCAGCCTCACTCATGGGGTGAGAGCAGCGGAAGCCTCCATAAAGGGGATGAAACACTGACAAATGCCACTTCTCTCCGTGGAAGACGGTAAAATAGGATGGCTGTCAGGGCCATGTCATCCTCCCGCCGACCACGAGCTTCCAGAAAGACATTCTGACGGGTTTTGTGAAGCGGCTTGTTCTTTGCGATCGATGTAGCAGGAGGGAAGGCTTTCTGCGCCTTTTATATTCCCAGTGTTTCTGCTTCCTGGATTCTTGCCCGAATGCGCTGTCCTCTAACTCTGCTAATATCTGGGTTTCACTTTATATTCCTTTTTCTCTTTACTGCGCCCCTCCCCCCAGCATGTTATTAATTCACTGGGGCTCTGGAGAAGGCCTAGCCGAGCTTATATCTGTGACACAGGGCCCGAGCCCAAACAAGCTGCACCCCCAGAGTCAGCTGCAACCCCACTTTCAATACCGTCTTTATGATGGTGCAACATCTTTCTAAGTAGGACAAATAGGCCCCTGCCTACTAGAAATGGTAGTCTGGGGGCAGGGGAGATGCCTCAGTTGAGGATCTGAGTTCTTTTTGTTTTACTGTATTCATTTTCAGTTTTCCAATTTCACAAAGGTGTATGGCTATATGCATGTTTGCATGTATGGGGCTGTCATACACGGGCACAGGTGTGAGTGTGTATGTGTGCACATGTAGAGACGAAGGGTTGATGTTAGGAGTCATCTTCAATGCTCTTCTAACCTATTCATTGAGGTGGGCCTCTCAATCAAACCTAGAGTTGGCTTGATCTCCTGTCTCTGCATTCTGGGGCTGGAATCACAGCCATTCCTCAACATTTAGCCAGCATTTAGGTGGGGATCCCCACTCAGGTCCTCACACTTGCTCTTTTGATAAAAATATCATCCCAGCTCCTGGGAGGAGACAAGTGGATCCTGGGACTCCTTGCTCAGTCAGCTCAGCCTAATGGGTAGCTCCAGGCTCATTAAGAGACCATGTTTCAAAAAATAAGGTGAAGTCTCACATACACACACACACACACACACACACACACACACACACACATACACACACACACACACGCACAGACAGTGAGTCTCAAAGTAATATATAAATATATTATGCTAGAACATGGGCCTCAAGTAATTTTATTGTATTTTTTTTCACTTGACATTATATCATAACAGTTTTCCCTCAAGTTTTTTAAGCTTCAAAGTTTGAGTTTTTAAGTAACTACAGGATATTTGTTGTATGACTGTTTCATTTCTCCCCCAGTTGTCCCCATTTGGGACATCTAATGCTTTTCATCGGGTTTCATTATAAATGGCTGTCAAGAGCCTCCTAGGAATTTTTTTCGTTGTGTTTATGAGAAAATGTTTTGTTCCTTATTCTAGGGTCACCTCAAAGCCATAACCCTAATGCCTCAGCACCCCGAGTGCTGGGATAAGTGCACACCACCGTGCCCAGCTAGTCTTCCTGCACACGGTCTCATGTGCCTGCAGTTGCTCCATCAGGTATCTTCACCGGACAATGTGTCCTCGTCACAACAGTTGCCTGAGAGCAGAGCAGGGGCCCATTGGAACTGACTGGGGAGAGGCAATGCAAGCCGGAAGTCAAGGTCAGGGGATAGCCCTGATGCAAGACCCCAGTGTGGCAGACAAAGAGCATGGGGGGGGGGGAGGCATATGGGTGATACTCAAGCAAAAAATATGAGACTAGAATTAAAAATCTGAGCAACAATCAACTCAGCAAGACTGAACACAATAGGACTATTCCCTCTATTGCTGTCCCCAAAGCTCCTGCTTTTGAACAAAGCTGCTCCCACATTCCAGAGTCACTTGCCATTTTGCCATTCAGGGATACACTGAACTACTGGGCTTCTATGTGCCTTCTGCACTGTGACCCAGGAAAAGGGACTGCTTTGACTACCCGTTGACCTGCGCCCTGGGAGGGTAGGCTCCAATACTAGGAGAGAGATACTCACTGTCCTCGTGGGTCCATACAAGCTGAGGCGTGCTTGGAGGTCCATCCCCCGGGGTGGTAAAACACAGGACTGATGTGAAGTAGGCCGTGAACTTCTTCAAGTTCGTTATGTACCCGTGGTGGATTCCATGGAAGTCAGGAGCAATAGTGACTACAGTGACAGTCTCAGGGGCATCTGCTGGCCAAGCCAGAAGCTGGTAGGGAAAGGGTTAAAGAAAAGATGCCCTTTAAATTGCATTTCTTCAATTAACTGTCTATCAAAATTACAGCTTACAATTAGTATGTATTTAAAGAAAGCATATTCATAATCTAATAAGTTTATAAATCCCCCATCATTTTTCTATTTTTCATGTTTGGGGATAAAACCCAGAGCCTTACACATGTTAGCAAGCACTCTGCCCCAGATCTAAACTTCCAGCCCCTCACTGGGAGATTCTAGACAGGTGCTCTACCACTGAGCCACACCCACAGCCTCTCACTGGAGGATTCTAGGATTCTACCACTGAGATATATCCTTCTTCACTTTACAGAGTTTTATTAAGTTTCCCAGGCTGGCCTTGAACTTGTGGTTATCCTACCTCAGTCTCCCAAGTAGCTGAGATAGTAAGTCCTGGCTCTAAATCCTATTATATCTGATAATCTCACTTCAAAATGAATTCAAAATATGCCTCTATTTGTGTACATTTACATGCATATATATATATATATATATATATATATATATTAATGAAATGGCTACTTAACTGTTGTTACAGTAATGGACACTCCCTTTTAAACCTCCATCTTCTCTTAGGATACTACTGAACATGGATTTTTTTTTTTAATAGTGAGGGGAAAAGATGACATCATCTGTTAATTCAATTAATTAGCATGAGGAGATAAACACAAACATTCTCCAGATAGAAGTCTACACTGACTCAAAATGATTCAATAGGAACAACATTAATGATTTATAATTTATGTTATACTAGTTTCCTGGAATGGATTTTAGGAGATAGGCTAGAATTTTAAATAAAGAGCATGCACAGGGGCTAGAGATTTAGAAAAACTGGTAGAGAGCTTGGCTAGTATGCAGAAAACCCTAGTTTCCAACTCAGTACCATATAAATCTAACATTCTGGCACATGCTTATAATCCCAGGAGTAAGGAGGTGGACACTGGAGAATCAGGAGTTCAAAGTTATATTCAGCCACACAGTGAGTTTGAGGACAGTCTAGTCCTTATGAAACTGTCTTAAAAACAAAACAAGACATAGCCCACATGCATGCATATGTGCGTGTGTGTCTGTGTGTGTGTACATGTGCATGTTCTAGCAAAAGCCACTTTCGCTATCTGGCAATGCTGTGTACGAGTATGAGTTTTAGTATCTTGACACCATGAGTCTCCAGAACTGATTGGTTCTGAAAGCCATTGGGCAGCAGTACACAGAACACATCTGTGCAGATCAAACTGACAAGCCAGCCAGTGTTTTCGCCACACAGACCGGGCAGGAGAGTAAAGAGTGATGGAGTTTCACGCTCATCAGTATAATTTCCCTTCAAAAAAGCATCTGCCCTTAGATACCTCCGAGGAAGAGGCAGACTCATGGCATGTTCTTAGCTGGGCCTGCCCTCATCACAGACAAACAAGTGTTTGAGGGAGCTGAACCCAAGTGAAAAGGAAAAATGAACCAAATGCCAGGCAATGACTCCCTTTGAAGCTGAAAGCATCAGTGACTCACCCCTCCCTGAAGGGGCTCCTAAGTCTCCTGCCTAAGGGGTTAGTGAACCTACTTTTGCACAATGAAGTCAGACTCCCAAGTCTAACCAGAAGTTATACAGAGGAAGGAAACTATGCTTTTGGAATGTGCACCGGAGCCCATCATACCCAGCAACTGAGTCTGTTCATTAATTCAGTTTGGTAGGGCACCCTGGCCCACAATCTCTGTTCTCCATTCTTTAAACAGAACTGTTCCCAAAGCAGAGAACAGAATGGTCTCTTTCCTGGATGGGAGCCTCCCTCTCATGAATCCTTGCCCTTGACTCCTTCTAGGAAGAAGTGGTTGGATATAGGCTGACTCAAATCATCCCACATAGATGATTGTGTGTGTGTGTGTGTGTGTGTGTGTGTGTGTGTGTGATGAATGTGTGCATGTATGTATGCTGGTGTGCATGTATATGTGTGCCCATGGGTGTCCAAGCATGTGGAGCTCAGAGGCTGACATCAAATGTCACTCCCCATCTTAGTTTTTGAGACAGAAACCCTCACTGAACTTGGAGCTTACTCATTCCATTAAGCTGGCTGGCCAGCAAGCCCCGGAGATCTCCTGCTTCTGCTTCCCCAGTGCTGGGACTGAAGGTGTGCACACCAAGCATGGATCTTTTAGTGCCATAGGTTCTGAGGGACCACAAGTCCTTATGCTTGTATGGAACATGGACTGAGCCATCTCCCAGCCTTCCCTGAGGCTCAATAACCCCACTAGAGCCTGTTTTTTGTACCCTTCTCAACTGATCATTTGAATTTCTGGGATAACTGATCAGATTGCAGACAAATGGTGGCCCCACCAAGGCTGTCGTCCTCTGCATTTGATGCCCTGAGTTTTCAATGACATAGGAAGGGCAGAACCTAATGTATGATGATCAATACTGCCAGAGTGCCATCTGGAAGTTCCAAAACCAGGCCAGGTACCTTGTATCCCTGGTTGATGCCATTGATGAACTGCTGGGGTGGCGGGTTCCACAGGAAGTGCACGGTGGTGGAATTCACAGCTTCTGCCTGCACGTTCTGGGGGGGTGCAGTAGGCACTGTTCCCATATGGAGGTGGTAGGCAGCAGCACAAGTGGCAGGAGGCACCATGAGGAGAAGATACAAAAAGAAACCTCAGTCACAACTCAGGATTCAAGAGCAGATGGGAAGGGAGGTGAATGTCTCCCAAGCTAATCCTCATGTAACAAAGAAGGAGAACTGGTCCATTTCTTATTTTTCTGTGGGAGAGCAGTTTCTTTAAGGCAGAGGCAGGAAACTGCATCTGACCACTGTCTCATCCCACAGATAGGCCTTTCCCACAGATCTGAGATGAACAACACACTAAACCCTTATTGTTTCTTCAGTTACCCCTATGGCCACCTGAAATCGTCACAGCTATCTAGAATGGCCTTACGCTTGCTGCTATGTTCCAAGCTCTCCTCCCCATTCCCAGTTAGTTTTTATTGTTCACTTGACATAACCTGGGGAAGAGATACACTCAACTGCAGAACTATCCAGATTAGATTTGTCTGTGGGGATTACCCTGATTGATGATTGATGTAGGAAGGCCCAGCCCACTGTGGGCAGTGCTATTCCTAGGCAGGTGAACCTGGGTTCTATATTATAAGAACGCTAGCTGAGCGTGAGCTTGTGAGCAGTGTTTCTCCATGGTTTTTGCCTCCAGTCCCTGCCCTGAATTACTTCCCTAAGTGATGGACTGTGGCCTGGAAGTAAAGCCAAATAAAAACTTTCCTTTCCTAAGGCACATTAGTGTTGTCGTGGTGTGACACGTTAGTGACATCATTATAGTGACAGAAAGGGGAGCTAGAATTCTCTGTGTATGTGAATGTGTGTTTGTATGTAGTTGCACATGTGTGTGCAGGGGCACATGCCTGTGGAGGTCAGAGGCCATCCCCAGGTGTTGTTCCTCTAGCCCTGTCCATATTATTTTTTATAAAGATTGTTTTATCTTTATGTGTATGGGTGTTTTGCCTGCATGTATGTCTGTGTACCATGTGTGCCTGGTGTCCAGGGAGGTCAGAGTAGGTACTGGATTCACTGGGACTGGACTTACGGATGGTTCTGAGTTGACACGTGGGTACTGGGAGCTGAACCTGGGTCCTCTGCAAGAACAAGTGTTCTCAACCATAAGCCGTAGCTCCAGCCCCTTCCTATTGTCTTCGCTTTTTGTTTGCTTTTTGATGCAGGTTGCCAGAGAGGATTACTTAAGGGGACCTGAAACTCGCCGATTAGAATATTCTGGCCAGTGAGCCCCAGGGACCTACAAGTATGTGCCTCCATGTCTGGGTTTTTTTTAAAAGAGGGTTCTGGGGGTCACACCCAGGTGTTTGTGATTATTAAGGCAAGCAAATTACAGAATGAGTTACTGTCCCAGCTGCCCAGGGAATGCAGAGGAGGAAAGGGCTTATTGACTTTACTTCCAGGTCACAGTTCGTCATGGAGGGAAGTAACTCAGGCAGGGACTGAAGACAAAAGCCTCGGAGGAGCACTGCCCACTGGCTTGTTCACTGGCTCAAAACCATCACACTCCTCCTATGTGTATTACTGTTCATTCAAGCACAAAGAACTATAGGCAACTAAGGGTTGGTTGCTAAGACTTGGAGAAACAGTCTTTCCCTGGGAAGGCAACACCAATTGATTATTCAATATTAAATGGTTAGCTCCCCCTCCCCCCAAACATATCTACAAGTAACATACACATGGAGCAGGATGTATTTATGTATTTAGGAATATATGTGAATATCCATATATGTCTGTAACAATAATTGGTACAAAAAGGTGGCATCACATTTGAACGAGGGCAACGAGGAGCATATGAGAGGGTTTGGAGAGAGGAAGGGGGATGGGGGAATGATGTAATTATATCATATTATAATTTTAAGAAATAAAGGAAAAAAATCTAAGGGAAAACTACTTCTGGCTCTGCCCTGCCTCTTTCTTACATTCACTGAGCATCTGCTGAGTCCTGTGATGCCCTTATGGGGCACCTGCCCTGGGAGGATGCTCCTGGAGTGTTGAGCAGGGCAGAGCATGCATGTGGCTCTGGATTGCCCACTTGGTTGGACTGAGAAGTTGAGATGCACGTTGGAGATTGGGAAAGTCCACCTCACTTGTGTCTGTGAAGGTGTTTGCAGGTTCCCAGAGGTTACTTAGGGGCTGGCTGCCTGCCCTGTTGTGGGCAGCATCAGCTCCAAGGGCCAGAGTCTATATAACAAAAAGGGAAGAAGGGAGTCTACTGCTGCAGGTGTGGTCCAGATCCCTGAGAGGGGAGCAGCTGTGCCCCACCATACCCTTCCCCCATGATGTCCCGGCTCACCAGTCAGAAACAATGGTGCCAACTACCATGGACCATAACATAACAACTCAGCCTAAATGGAGTTTTCCTCCTTTGAATAGCTTTTAAGTTTAAAATGGCATGTATTTATTTGGGAGGAGCCACGTGAGTACCTTTGTGATTATGGGGAGGTTAGAGGAAGGTGAAGGAAGAGGAGTGGACTGGAGGAGGAAGCAGAGTTAAAAAGAGAGGATGTTGGTGGCACACACCTTTAATTCCAGCACTCGGGAAGCAGAGACAGGCAGATCTCTGTGAGTTCAAGGCCAGCCTGATGTACAGAACTAGTTCCAGGATAGCTAGGGCTGTTACACAGAGAAACCCTATCTTGAAACACCCCCCTCCAAAAGGAGAGGAGAGAGAGAGAGAGAGAGAGAGAGAGAGAGAGAGAGAGAGAGAGAGAGAGAGAGAGAAGAGGGAAAGGGAAGGAGGAAGGGTAAGAAAGATAGTGGACGGGGAGAGAAGGGAGGAGGAGAGGGGAGGAGAGGGGAAAAGAGGGTGGTGAAGGAAGGAATGGTAATGTGCAACTGGACTAGGAAAAATTGCTAAGACAACTAAAGGTGACTCTTCAGGAGCTTCAGATGGAAAAACAAGGATGCTTCACAGAGAGGAACAAGGGTAAGATGTGTTGTTGTTTCACAGAAGAATCCCACCAGGCATTTGAGGAATAATTAAACAATTATAATCACTACCCAGACACCCAAGTAAATAAATAAGTAACATTGCAGACAAGAAAATAGACCAACAAACAACTATCCCTTATGCATACAAGTTCCAAACACAATCAAGAAAACACTAAAAGATCAAATTCAGCAATATACCGCAGTTATAACGTAGCCTTATCTGGTGGGATTTATCTCATAAACAATAGAGTGGCCCAATATTTGACTATCAATCACAGCAAAGTACCAAATCAACTGAATAAAGAAAACCCAATCTTAATAGGGTTAGAATAGGCATTTGATAAATTTTAAGATCTAATCATGATAATAATAATAAAAAATACCTTTCTGTCAAGAAGGAATTTAAAAGAACTTGGCAAATTTGATAAAGGGCATCTATAATGCACCTGTGACTGCGATCTCATTTGAGATGAGTGCCTGCCTGGAAGATGCTGCCCTGAGATCAGGGACAAGGTAGGATGGAAGACATCCTATGTGGCTTTTCTACTCTGCAAGTCCAGATGATGAAGACAAGAAAAAGGGGGGGAGGCAAACTGACAGGGGAGATGCTGTCTACCTATGGGCAATATGACTATCTACACAGAAAAGCCTCATCACCTCCAGGAAAGCTCCTAGGACTAAGACAGGCTGGCAAGATTTCTGGCTGCAAGGTCAAAGCTCAAGAATCAATTCTGTTTCTAAACACAAGCAGTAAGTAATTGGAAACTGAAGTTCAAAAAATTGGTTCCCAGGGGGTGTGGAGGTGGAGAGCTGCCTTGGTCCTGCCTCAACAAGATGATGGGACAGACTTAGTAGACTTCCTAGGAAAGAAGGTCTTACCCTCTCCGAGGAGCAGATAGGAGGATGGGGGAGTAGGGGGGAGCAGGAGGGAGAGGAGGGAGGGGAAATTGGTGTAGGAATATAAAAAATAAATTAATAAAAAATTGGTTCCATTTAGGGAGCTTGGAGACAGCTCAGTTGGTAAAGAGTTTGTTGTACAAAGGAGGAGAAGCCTGGATTAAGATCTCCAGCACTCACATTAATAGAGTGGGAGATCTCTAGCCATCCAGTGTGGCCAAACTAGTAAGCTGAAGGGCAGGGAGAGACCCTTGTCTCAAAAACACAAAGTAGACTGTGTGCTAAGGAGTGATACCTAAGGTTGACCACTAGCCTTTAAGCATGTGTGCACATACATGTGATCCCCACCCCAACACACAGTCAACCCCATTTAAAAAAGCAACAAAAATGTGAAATAGATACAAACCTGGTAATATGCTGGATCTATAATCTGAAAGTTATAAAAACCACTTAAATACAAACTCTAAATAAATAGCCTGGGAGAGTATTGATGGATTCAAAGATCAGGGAGGCAAAGGACTGTTCTCCCAAAGTAATCCATAAGTTAACATGAGCCCATCAAATGCACAACCAGACTCTCTTCATAAACGGAAAAGGCAGTTTTCAATTCATAGGAGAACACAAAGGAACTAGAATAGCCAAGCCAAACCAATTTTGCAGATTAAAAAAAAAAAACTGGATAAACTACCATGTAATTAAAGATGGTATGAATCTATAGTAACTAAAACAGGTGACCCTGGAAAACAATTGAGTACAATATCAACAATGCCAGTGCCATAGAGAGGAACCTAGAAATGAGACACACAGGTACCAACTGGTGTTCAGAGCAGTACACACAATTCTGCAAAGCCTGGACACTCTTATCAAAATATAAAAGAGAACTTCCAGAGAGATGTACCTCACACCTATATGAAAACTAACTCAGGGTGGATCACGGGCTTCTGTGTAAACATATCTCTATCAAGCTTCTGGGTAAGACTGCCGTGTCACTGGACTAGGTGACAGCATGCAGGAATAGTGGCCCCAAGGTTCTTCTGTGAGATGAGTCAGAACTGAAGCCCACACAATGCTGTGTGCAGTGTGCATGGCAGCTTCAGTTTCCTCCCAACCCCAAGTCTACCGATGGATGGGGGACAAATGGGCTGCTCCTATGGGGTGACAGTTACTATTGATTATCAAGTGGATAAGATCTACCATCACCTGGAAGAGGTACCTCTGGGCATGTCTATGAGAGAGTT